TGCGGAGGGTCTGCTTCGCAGCGTCTGACTCGCACCAGGACGTGGGGCCAGGTCCTCCCATGTGAGCTGCGAGACTGCCGCCGAGGTCTCGGGGGCCCAAGCCGAATGAAGTCTCTCCCTCACTGCGTGCTGCGGCACGCGACATTGTCGTCTCAGAATGACCAGGACGAGGGATCGCCCTCCTTGGCGGCTGCGGACAGCGAAACGTTTGCAACTGTCGCGGGCTCTTGGGAGGTCCAGCGGGGCGACGTTTCTTCGGAGCAAAATGGGCCTCCCCCCTACCCGAGGGCTGCGAGCAGCGAGATCGTCACCACTTGCGTGGGCTACTGGAAGCCTCCGCCACACCGTCTCATTCGGATTCGAATGTGACCTCGCCCTCTCAAGGGGGATGCGAACTGCGAAGCTGCTGGCACTGTCGCTGCTCCTCGGGGCCCAGCGGAGTGACGTCTGAAGATGATCAGAATGCGGCCTCGCCGTTCCCGGGGGCTGCGACCTGCGGAGCTGGTATTGATTCCGTGGGCTCATAGGAGGTCCAGCGGAGTGGCGCCTGATTCAGCTCATCATGGGGCCTCGCTCTACCTGGGGGATGCGAACAACGAACTCGGCACCGCCTTCGTTGGTTACGGGAGGTTCTTCGCAATGTCACGCTCGGATCAGAGTGAAGCCTCGCGGCTGCGAGCTGCGAAACTACCGCCACGATCTGGGCCTCCCTGAGGGCTGCGACCTGCGAAACTGTCGTCACTCTCGTGGGCTCCTGGGAGGTCTAGCCGAGTGACGACGTCTTCGGATCAGAACGAAGCCTCGCCGTCCCTGAGGGCTGCGAACAGCGAAAGCGTCACGCAGCGGAGGAACATCTTATTCGGATCAGAATGAGGCCTCGCCTTCCCTGGGGGTACTGCGAACTGCTACAATGTCGTCGCATCCGTGGGCTCACGAGAGGTCCAGCGGAGAGACGCCTCATTCGGATCAGAATGAGGCCTCGCCCTCCCTGGCGGCTGCAGATTGCGAAACTGTCGTCACTCTTGTGGACTCCCGGGAGGTCAAGTCGAGCGACGTCTTATCCGGACCAGCATGATGCCCGCACAGCGGAGTCGAAGCTGCCGCCGATGTCGTTGACTCCTGGGGGGTCTAACGAAGCTACGTCTTATTCTGACCAGGCCGCGCAATCCCTGGGGGCTGCGAACTGCGAAACCGTGGTCGCTTTCGCGGGCTCCTAGGAGGCCCAGCGCAGCGACGTCCTATCCGGATCAGAACGAGGCCTCGACCCACGATGGGTGCTAGGCCCTCCCAGTTTGGCCAGCATGCGCAGACACCGATCATCCCGAACGTACGACGTCGTGGTCTGCACCCCTCCCTGGGGGCTGGCTCCTCTTCCCGAGCTCCCCTCTGACGGGCAAAGGGCCCGGCGAGGGCCCTTGGAGGCTGACGCTTGCCATACACTTTCGCCGAAAGCTTGTGCACGATGCGAAGACGTCAGCTGAACCTGGCAAGATCCGCGGGGTGGTCAGCTGACGACCCGCAGCCCATGCCGATCGTGCCGGTGTGCACAAGCATCCCGCACTCCGCCCGAGGGCCACGCCCGCCTTGCGCGCCGCCCCGACCCTTCTTTTTCCCTTTTACAAGTCGCACTCAGGAGCCGCACTGTGCGGAAAAAAGAACCTTTGGCCGCTCGGGCAATGTTTCAGCCCCTTCCCGCGGCGAGGACAAGCACGCATGACTAACTACGTGAAAGGGTGCTCGCATCCAGGGCCCCCTGCCCGCAGGAGCAGCAGGTGGCGCAAGGGCGCAGGCATATCATTTCGGACGCCCGCACGGATGCCCGAGGTCGGCGCTGGACCCTCCTCCCCACGCTCGGAGCGCCCTCCTCCTCCAGCTCCTCTTCCTCCTCCTCCTCCTCTTCCTCCTCCTGCCAGGGGTGGCGCTGGAAGGAATAGGAGCCGGGTTCCGACCTCGGGAATCCGCACGGACCTCCCGAAATGTAGCAAGCAACAGTTTCAGGAGGCAGAACAGGGACACCTTTGCCCTCTCCCGGGATGCAGCAGTAGCCCTGATCAGATTAACCACCGCTGTCACGTACAGATATGTTGAAATCTGCGTGACACAGCAGCGGAATCCTCCAGCCGCGAGAACGCATGCTGCAAGGCGCGGGCAATGCACCCAGCGCGCGAGTCGTCCTGGCCGAGTGAGAAACTTGTTTTTGCCCACGACCACGAGGCTCCAGCAGGCGCCAGACAACTATTTATGACCCCTCCCCAGAATCGTCCGTCTCTCGGCCATATGTGGGCGGCGGCTACTCGACGAGGCTCCTTCGAACACATCGCGGGGCAAAAAATGCGTGGAGTCTTTAAGCATCACGCATTCACTGCTGGCATCCAAGGAACCACGCTGGCCTCGATAAGCCCCAAGTCCGCCTCGAGTTTGGGTGTCCAAACCTCTCTAAATGCATGTCGAAACATCACGTCGACACCTGCTTCATCCAAGGAACCACGCTGGCCTCGATAAGCCCCAAGTCCGCCTCGAGTTTGGGTGTCCAAACCTCTCTACATGCATGTCGAAACATCACGTCGACACCTGCTTCCCTCGTCACTGAACCGATCCCGTGGCTCAAGGAATGCCATCCAGATGATCCAAGAAGCAAAAAACGGTCCGAGACGGCCCAAGTGAGAGGGCCATAGATGGCACCGAAGTGACCCGAGAGGGGACCAAGACGGCCCCCAGAGGGACTCACAAGGCACTACAAACGCGTTCCCACTTTGTTGATTGAGCTCCTGGGCCCCTCCCATCCGCTCCCTCTGGTTTTGGCGCGCAAAACTCAAACACAGCTCTATGCTTCCGCTCTTCTGCTGTCGCTCGGTGTCGCAGTGTCGGGTCAATGATGAGGCCAAGTGGACGCGGCCGCAGCAGTGACGGCGATAGCGACGAGATAACGATCGCAGCCAGGTCGCGGGGTTCCCTGCATTTCGCCGCGCTGCGTCTTTCTCGTATTGCCCCGTTCTCCCTGATAGATCTGGCCCATACTTTGAAATGGAGGAACATCGCACGCGCTTTGCGCGCGCTCAAGTTTCATATGCGATGGAGCCTGACGAACAGCGTGAGTCAACACGCTCGTTTTTGAAGGCCCACTGAGAAGTTCTGATTAAGTTTGGGATCAGGAGCTGTCTAACAGATGAGCACACTTACGTGGTAGCTGTGGCTCTCCTACCCCCCCGCCCTTGTTTCTCCTCCAGTCGGGAAAAGAGTGAAGGGGTGAGGAGCCAGGGCAAGGTGGAGGGGAGGAGAAGGAGGAGGAGGAGGAGGAGGAGGAGGAGGAGGAGAGAGAGGAGGAAGGGGAAGGGGAAAGGGAAGGGAAAGGGGAAGGAGGAGGAGGAGGAGGAGGAGGAGGAGGAGGAGGAGGAGAAGGAGGTTAAGTGAATGGAAAGGGAGGGGGGAGAGCTAGGAGAGGGAGGGCGAGCGGCAGGAGAGGGAGGAGAGGAGGGCGAGGAGAGAGGAGGCAGGGAGAGCGGCGGAAGGGTGGAGGAGGATGGGGACGGTGAGGACGACGAGGAAGAGGGGGCCAACAAGGAGCGAGGACGAAGAGAATGAGTATGAGGACGGAGGAGTGAGAGCGAGGAAGGAGTGATGAGGGTGGCTTCTCCTCCTCCTTTCCTCCTCCTCCTCCTCCTCCTCCTCCTCCTCCTCCTCCCCTGCTCCTCCTGACCATCCTCTTCCCGCGGGGCCTCGCGCGACCTCCTCGGAACTGTCCTGGGACCGCGTGGCCTCGCAGATGGGGGTCCTCCTGGGACCCCCGGTGCCGGCTGCGGGCCATCTCGGAGCCGTGCCGGGCTCTCTCGGGCCATCCAATTGTGAAGGGGCCCCAGAACACACAAATTAATACACACCAATAAAAAGATTCCCCATATTTTCTGGGTTTCTGTCTTCCCCCCCCACTTCCCATATTTTCCTATATTTTCTGGGGAATCGAAGATTAATTTTGTCTGTGTGTTTCTTTTCCTCCTGAAATGGCCACCTTGAGACATCTCGGAGCGCTCGTTCGCAGTGTTGGACACTCTCGGCACCCTCTCTGGCGTTTTCCGGCTCCTCCGAGAGTCTCGAGAAGTCATATGTTTGATCGAAAAGTGTGGGATCCCAAGAATGACTGGCAACCAAATTGGCTCTCTTTGCTTTCGGCGGATTTGCACAGTCTTGGGGGCCACTCTTGGGGTCCTCGCGGGGTCCTGCTGTGGCATCTTGGGTTCCTCCTTGGATCATCTTGGAGTCGCCTGGGCCCTCTGGCGATCTCTTGGGGTACTGCGGGAGCCCGCTTGGAACACTCGAGTTATGCACTCGGGTCCTTTCGGGGGGCTCTGGAGCCTCCTGTCGGAAGCTGGGCGAGGGCTGGCAACTCCGTGAAAAAGCAAGTTCTCGGAACAAAGCCCAGCGCGCCGAATAGAAGAGTAAGCAGGCTGCTTCCTAGAGGAGAAAAACCATCCCCGGAGCTCCGTTCTGGCAGCCACGAGTCTGCCAGCCTTCGCCCAGCTCCTGCTCCTGGGGGGGGGGGGGGGGGCCGGGCGAAGCTCCCACGGCGAGGGCACCCGCTGTGGCCCAGGGTGCCCCCGGGAGGGGGGGTCCCGGGGCCTCTGGGGCTGGGCCATAATTACGTAAGCCGATCTGGTCTGGCCTCCGCGACAGCTCAAACTGGAACGCCGAGAGAGCCCAAGGACGGCCCAATGCGGAGGCCGCCGAGAAGGCCAGCCCACGACGTCCCAAGTGGCGCCAGGATGTCATGCGGGAGACTCTCAGGGGCGTTCGCTGTTCGGCCCAGGGTGCTGCGGCGCTCGCCGGAGGCGTCTTCGTCAAGGCCCTCGGCGCCAGATACGCGTCCGAGTCGACTCACGCTTCACGCGCTCATTGCTCGCGTCCGAGGGTCCTCCCTCGACTCCTTCTGGGCATGCGCGGCCGCTGTAACCTGCGTGCCCCCCTCTGAGGCTGGCTCTGCACCGGTCCCCGCGACTCAGGTGAGCCGAGCGTCCTCGTTCAGTCCACGCCGAGATCTGTGCTTCTCGGCGCGCCTGGCGCCCCCGGGCGGCCAGGCCTGCGCCCTGCTCGTGCAGTGACACAAAAAAGGAGCCAGAGCCAAGGTGGGACTCTGGCCAAAAGCCGGTCGAGTGCCGTCCAGCTCGCAATCGAGACGTAATACTCGAAACCACGAGATGCTGGCCGCGAGACACGCTGGGCAGCTATATAACTAAGGAGCTACCAAGAGAGACCTGCCTTCGAAGTCGTTGCAATTCGGATTGTTGAAAATATCATGCACTGGTGCGTTGAGCTCCCTGGGAAGACTGGGGGCAGGCCGATGAGCTCATGTGCGAATCCTGTTAATGGCGTTGAATGGCGTTGATGGGCATTGGTGCAAGCGCATTTCCTGATGACGTCTAGGAAAGTTTTACGTATGTTCGAAGAGCTCCATCTTGGAATGCCCCGAGCGACACTGGTTCTGGAATTGTCTTGCCTTGCGCGCGCGCGAGCGCGCGCACCTGGCCGGCATGGCACGGTTACCCGAACGGTGCTTGCACTTGGCGGTTCCTACAGTCGGGGCGTTGACCTAAGGAGCCCTAAATAAGGAACGAGGCCCCTTTTTCCCATCAGTTAAAGTTCGACTTCCCATCGAAAACCTAGGGAAAACCTCAGGCAAGCTGTGAAACAATCAAGGAACACGGAGCCCCTCCCCAACGAAAAGGGTTCCTTCTTCAGGGCCCCGACTGTACTCTGTCTTGATTGGAAACCTGGCACTCGAGGCTTCGCCTCGCGCGCTGGGCTGGTCAGCAGAGGTGTTGTCTGGAGCCCGCCGCGTGGGCGCCGCGCGGGCGCCGCGCGCGCGGGGCACAGACGAGGGTGTCGCGTGGTGTCCCCCCCGTGGGCGCCTCGCTGGCCATCGCTCGGACGTCCATTCCCTGTGCTTTTTTCGGTCCCGTGCGTGGCTTTTTCGCCAGATGATCAAGGATGCTCCTCGATGGTCCTCGCCGAAGGAAAAATGCACACGTCCGAGCGATGCCGGTGTTTCGCCTCGTGCGCTCGGCGGCTCGGGCCCGAGGTCTCGCGCCCTGCGCCCGCACGGGCGCGCCCCGCGGGCACCCCGGTGCGCGCGAGGGGCGGCCGCACGGCCTGCACCACAGAGCGTTGGCCACTCGGCACGTAGCCTGCACCACGATCAGCTGTCACTGGCCTTCGCTCGGACGGCCATTCCCTGTCCTTTTTTCGGTTTCGTGCGCGGCTTCTGCGCCCAATGATCAAGGATGCTCCTCGATGGTCCCCACCGACGAAAAAATGCACGCGTCCGAGCGATGCGAAGGTCACCGCAGCGTTTCATTACACAGCCGATGCCACCACACACGGTGCGATGCACCAGTTGCACCTCGCAGCCTGCGTCAGCACACAACTCGCACCGCATGGTCTGCACGTACACGACATGGTTCACAGCACACAGCTGGCACCTCCATCGCTTGCACCACACAGCTTGCACCAACTGTATCTCACCACGTAGCTTACACCGCTTGGTCGCTTGCAGCGCATTTCTCTAACATTCACAATCTAACAACGCACTGCATTGATCAACAATTGCATCATAATGCGTTCCACGTCCACCGCAACATTGATCGCGCCCAGGCTGAATCAGGATGATTACGGGAATGGTTTTACGCCTATGCAGGTAAGCGCGCATCCAACTTTTAAACATACAAGAACACAAAGGACATGAATGGGAATGCGGCTAGGTGCGGTTCACAAGAGACAATCATTCTCACAAAATTATCTGCCACCGTGCCGCGAGGCACTAAAGTGCCTCCAACTTTGAACAGTCCTCAACCCCCGAGCCTGGAAACATGTTGGCCAGCGTGGGCCCAAATGTAGACGATATTTCCATGTGGATGGGTAATCTATGTGATGTGATGCAAACAAAGTGGTGCTAATTATTGACGCAACAGATCTGGTAATGTGAATACTGGATATAAGTGTATGTGCTGCAAGCTACATGGTGCACACTATGTGGTATAACAAGCGTCGTGCAGATGCGAACCAAGCACTGTAAGCTATGCGATGTGAGCTATGTGATGTAAACTGCGCGTTTCAGGGTATGTGGCGCAACCTATGGGGTGCGACATTTGTGGTGTAGGCAACGTAGTGAAAATTATGTGGTGCAAACTGTGCGGTAAAAAAGCCGTGAGGTGCAAGCTATGCGGCCGCCCAGCTATGTGGTGCAAGCTACGCGGCCACTCGGCGCACGAGGCGCTCACGAGGCGCTCATGTGCGCCCACGGGCGGGCACCAAGCGAAACCTCGGCCGACCCACCCAGAGCAAGAGGCGCCAGTGATGCGCCCAAGGGCGGACACCCAGCGGCACCTCGGCTCAGCTGCCCCAGTACGCAACACGCGACACGTGGCGTAGCGATACGGTGCTCAACACGCAGACCGGATACGCAGGTCTGACGCGATACGGTCGCCAAAACGTGGGCCGACACGCCGAGCCAACACGCAGCGTGTTGACACGACGCTTTGGGCACGGCACGTGTTGCATGTCAAAACGGGCGTATCGAGGCAGCTAAGCACCTCGTCTGCTCACAGCGCACGCGGCACCCACGCGGCGCCCACGGACGTGCTCCACACACAACCTCAGCTGGCCAGCCCAACGCACGAGGCGCCCACGAGGCGCCCACGGCGCCCACGGGCAGGCACCAGACACCGCCCGAAGAAACCCAAACAGCTAACTTCCCTTAACCCTGGGAAGCAGTTCGGACCCCCCCCCTGGATTACCGTCAGCACCGAAAAGAAACACATAACTCGCAGGGGCGGATTTAGCAGAGCGATACCGGTAGCACCGCACCAAGCCGCAAGCATAACGTATTGTTCCCAGCCCCCCGCGACCGACGTGCGAATTGCCAGCACCTTAGGGGATGGTCAGTGAAAATCGCCTTCCCTCCTTCCTCGTCCTTGTCTCATTTTCCTCGCCGCCTCTTTCCACTGCGACTCCTGTTGCAACCCCCATCGGCGAATTGATGTTCATCTGCCGCCCCAGGGGGCGGTCAACCCCAGGGTGCCGCACCCACCCCGCACGGAGCGATATCGTCGCACCAGGAAGCGCCGCAAAAACTAATTCCCACCCCCGTCGAAGTGGCATAAGCAATCGTAGTCGCATTGTTTTTGATCGTACACGTGGAAGTAGTAGTGGTAGTAGTAGTAGTAGTAGTAGTAGTAGTAGTAGTAGTAGTAGTAGTAGTAGTAGTAGTAGTAGTAGTAGTAGTAGTAGTAGTAGTAGTAGTAGTAGTAGTAGTAGTAGTAGTAGTAGTAGTAGTAGTCGTAGTAGTAGTAGTCGTAGTAGTCGTAGTAGTAGTAGTAGTAGTAGTAGTAGTAGTAGTAGTAGTAGTAGTAGTAGTAGTAGTAGTAGTAGTAGCAGTAATAGTCGTAGCAGCAGTGGTAGTAGCTGCACGAGAAGTCGTAGTCGTAGCCCTGGTCGTAGTAGTAGTAATAATAGTAGTAGTAACAGTAGTAGTAGTAGCCGTAATAGTCGTAATGGTACTAGTAGTAGTCGTAGTAGTCGTAGTCGTAGTAGTAGTCGTAGTAGTAGTAGTAGTAGTAGTAGTAGTAGTAGTAGTAGTAGTAGTAGTAGTCGT